TTCTGCCTGGACAGCTTGGGGCGCGGGTGAAGAGAGAGACCTGCAGCTTTTGGGCCGCAGAGCACGCAGACCGCCGCGCCCTCGTGGATTCGCAGAACTTCTTTTGCTGAACGAGGCAAAGGCACTCGCGGGGTTACAACCTGTCTGTGACACGAGCAACAAGGAAAAATCAGCTCTCCTGTTGAGCACAGAGGGGTTTTAAAAGCTTTGCCAAGACCAAATCACTCGAGTTCTAGAGACCTGCAGCTTTTGGGCCGCAGAGCACGCAGACCGCCGCGCCCTCGTGGATTCGCAGAACTTCTTTTGCTGAACGAGGCAAAGGCACTCGCGGGGTTACAACCTGTCTGTGACACGAGCAACAAGGAAAAATCAGCTCTCCTGTTGAGCACAGAGGGGTTTTAAAAGCTTTGCCAAGACCAAATCACTCGAGTTCTTGAAGTAACACCAAGCGGGAACCACCCCTTTCTCAGTCCGGGTGACAGAAACGAGTCTTCACCGCGCGCCCCGAGACACAACACAAAGGACCGCACCTGGTGAAGGATCAGGTCTTCGGCAGGGTACAGCTCCTCGCAAAACTCACAGGGCAGCATGATGACCTCGTCGTCTGCAAAGTAAGCGACGGTGAGATCCTCCACCACAGAGCTCTGACACGTTGGATCGACTGGTCTTCAAAATCCCTCCCCAACAGACTCCTGTTCTGTGCCGCAGGAGAGCGACCAGAGCAAGCGCCAAGGAAACACCTGCTGTAGTCCCGCTGGCCGGGTCCACATCGGCAAATTCACGACACCCAGAGCAAGAACGATGTTTTGGGGCCAAAGATCTATTGAATGGTCTGGTAAAAAAGCCTATTATTGTCTGCCATAAACCCTTCCGTACCAGTTCTCCTTTCGAAATAAGCTGGCGCTTCAGGTCTCCCCGAGCTCCTTCCTTCCTTCCCATCACTTGCACTTCAACAAGGAAGTTGTCGCCTGCTCAGTTGTTACGAGGCTCTCGCCACATCTCAAGGTCAGAGCTTTGCTGTAGCTTTTATTTCTTCTTCCCTTGCTCTCTCGCTTTAGCAACGCCTCTTTGAGAGAAACTATTTGAAACGCTAATATTGCTAAGTTTTAAGGAGCACAAGATAAAATTTAAGAAAGGAAGAATGGTACTTGTGGAGAATCTAATCTCCTGTGTATTAACCATCTAAAAACGATTTAGAGGGAGTCTCAAGAGACTCCGTTTGACATCTTAAAATACCCAGATAATCTTTGACATTCCCTATCCAAGAATCTTCTCTCTCCTTCTCCTTCCCTCAAACTTTAAGGAAAAACCCCACCACAACAGCGTTTATACTTACTTTTTATGAGGTTTGACGTGCTGAAAGACGCTAAAGAGTCACAGGAGAAGATACTTGACTTGTCTGTTTCCTGAAGCCAGGCAGATGGCACAGACTCTTTGGTGTAGTAGTTTTCCCAGAAGTCACTGGGAATTCCACCAGCAGCACTCTTGGGAGGATTATTCTCATTTTGCAGGCTGAGAGCCAACACGTGGTCTAAATCAGCGTTCCACTCGTCATAAAGGGAAGAATGAGCGTTCTCACTTCTCTCCAACCACTCCAGTTCACCCTCTTCCAAAGATAAATAACACAAATTTGAGAGAACGTTAAGCCCACAACAAGCAGCTCCCTGCCAGACATCGGAGTAGCACAACCATGGGGGTTCCACCCCTGGGCACTCACAGAGTTCAGCATTTCAAAGCCTGGAAGGACACCTGTATCAAATTCAGGAGGAAGGAGGAAAACAGCCACCCTATTTTTGTTTGTAACAAGCAAAACAGGAGAAAAAGAAGAAAGTTGTTCCTCTTACTCCAAAACCTTGAACTTAAGCTTCTTTATGGAGTCACTGAGGAACCTTCTGTGACCAACACTGTGCCCAAGGTCCAGCTAACGGACTGTTGCCTTGTCCCTTTTCCAAGGCTGAAACACTTCAGCTTCGTTTTTTCAGTCTATTGATGGGAAAACAAATTCCCTTTAATGATGCCCCATTTGACAACCAGGGGAACTACACACGCACAGAAGAAAAGCACGAAACGTCCTCAGGTAGGCACTGAAAACAAAACCAGGGATCCAGAACAGGGCCCAAGGCTCAGCAGACAATGCCTGAAGGCTGGCTGAGTGCCCCCCACCCGCGCTGGCCTAGATCAAATCTCTCTGGTGTTTCATTTGTACTGGCTACATGAGAGTTTTTAAACAGAGCTTATGTGGGAGCAAAAACACGACTTGTGAGCGCTCTCTGGAAGTCAGTGTCAGCAGCCCACAAGCTGCAGCTCTCCAGCTCACTCACATTATTACCTAAGCCCAGAAGTGGTTTCCACGAGCCGAGCTGCCCTCTGCAGCAAGGGCTGTAATTCAGCATTCTGTGTTCAATCCCCCGAGCGGCCCACGGTGCAAAGCAGAGCACGGGTTGAGCCGAGAGCTCATGGAAGGCTACGCCTTAAGCGTGACGTGACCCCCTGCACGTGGCCGTGAGAGATCAAAGGCTCAGGGACGAGCAGAGGCATTGATAATAGTCCCAGCGACGCCCAAACAGGCTGTTACGGCAGAAACAAGCAGCACTACAGACGCAAACCCGCACCCAGACCTTGCTGACCCTTCTACTGAACTGAAGACAAGGGGAGCGCAGCTGCTAAACAAAAACGGACAGAACTCGCAGCGAGCAAACAAGTCCAGTTTCACTGTGAAGCCAGACACTCGGAGGCAAAAGAACAGGCAGGAGCCTGGGCTTTCACACCACGTGCCTTCGCAGTCCTGTCCCCGGTAAAGCAGCCCCGAGGGCCTCTGGAGCCGTCGGTATTCCGTATTCGCACGGAAGGCAATGACAAAACCCCACACTCGGATCAGCTGCCAAATGAGAAACCAATTATTGCTCTTTGCTACACCTCACCTCGCTTTTTGGATTTCTTAGTGCTGCTGAAACATTTCTTCTGCTAATGTCCTTAAGGGGGTGGTCTCCTACTCATAAATCTGCTTTTCTGGCACCCTGGGGACTCTCCACCAAGGCCCAGCACCGTTACCTGATCGCAGTCGGTTTCTAACGTCTCGAAGGGTGTGCAAACCTCCATCCTCAGCCTCAAAGCGAGGCACCGTTCTGCGTCCTCGTACTTGTTTCACCTCGTGCCCACAGAGCGGAGGATGCTCCTTTAGATCTTTCACCATGACGTTACGGCCGCACCCACCGCACGTCTCAGTCCTGGCTCCGCAGTAAATTTCGTGGTCCCGGAGCTTGTTGAAAGTCAGCTGGATGTCACAGTACTGGCAGAGGGCAGGACGCAGCGGGCACGCCGACGCCTGGGGAAAGAAAGAGGGATTATTCTTCACATACGGAAAACCGAGGCAAAGGTGGAGACAGGTTCTCAGGCTGCTGAAGAGCCGAGTTCTTATCGTTTCTTTAGCCAGACCCGCAGCTACACTAAAGAACCGCCTGGAATAAGATACTGTGTGAGAAAGGCAAGAACTACGTGTCGCGTGACCCGCGCAGTCACAAACGTGCCAGCTGAAGCACTGCCAATACTCCAAACCTTATTTCCAACACCTGGACAGCAGGTTCACGTGGTGCTTTTTGAAGCCGGGTTTTAGACACAGGCTTGAAACCCAGTACTGACCCCATTTCACCAAGCGCTGCTAAAAACCACGTTCGTGTGCGTTCTGTTAGGGAACAGCTTTACAGCTCGTTTACGACTCAACAAGAATTGCTTGCCTATGTTCCTTACCCTGCGCTGAATGACAGGTAAGTTGCTCTTCAAAAGCAGATAAACACAGATGAACTACACGTCAAAACTGCACGTGCCGCAACGACACATCACCATTTGCGTTACAAACAAAGCTAAAAGCACCACGCGGAAACCTGCAGGATAAACGACTTCCAGGGTTTTGAACTGGACAGATCTTCAGAGAAAACCCCTTTTTCCTCAGCAATAAGCAGACTTGGGTGGCGCTTCCAGAGCTGTCTTTAAATGAGCGCATAGGGAAGGTACTGACGTTCGTAACAGGATCGCCTGTGACAGCGGCCAACTGGATTCAGAAACCCAGAAAAACCCACTGTGTCCTACTTTAGTTTAAAAGTCTGCTTGGACACGATGAGTTATTAAAACTCACACAAAGACTGCAGCAGTCAGAAATGTGTAATGTTAAAGGAATGAAAAAAAGTCAAGTTCATCATAGTCTGTACTTTGGAAACAGCGTGCCGGTTTTCATCTTAATCACTAACAAGGACAAAATCATGAATTATCACAGAATCCCCTTTGACATGAAGGCTTGAGCAGGCTCCACCACTGTAAGGCAGTTTCCAGGTGCTGGCTGACAGAAAGGCTCTAGAATCAGGGCTTGGAAAGACCGCAGAGTATCTTCCAAGTGCCTACCAAGATAAAGTCCACCAACCTCATGATCCTTCAAGAGACTGTTCTCTATCTTCATCCTACACTTGCAGGTAACCTGCAAGGAACAGACCTCGTTAGATTCATTGCCATAGAAGTCAGCAATTTTAGAGGAGACGTTTGTTTCTCACCTGCATGTGCTCAGACTCAATATGGCTCTTCATTTCCGACTTTGGGACTGATTCACTGCAGTAGCGGCATAATTCAATATTTCTGCTACAGTGGATCTCATGAATGATGAAATTAGGAGCAGGAATGTCCTTTTTACTAGGAGAAAGTCACAGAGGTTACTTTGCAGAACGCACATTAACAACTTCAAGCAGTTTTTCGTCACAAAAAAAAAATCCTAAGAAAGCTTTCTGTGAAGTCATGGTTTAGAGAACCAAGTAATTAAAGAGAAAGGCAAGCCCAACCAGGCCTCAACGTTCCTTTACAGGTGGGATATTAACGTATATAGCATGCAAAAGTCACTGTATTAAGTATCTGTATTAAGATAAAACCAAGGCAGATTTATTTCCTTATGTGAAAACCAAATTTTGCAGCATAAACAAGTTATCACCAGGGTCAAGTTAATAAACTCATCCGAGAGGATAAAAGTTTCTTCCTGAAAATAACTCGGCAATGAGAGGGCGATCTCTGCTTGGAAAAAAATAACTAACAGATCCTGTTAGGCCAGATCCGTTCAGTAACCATATTGCTCTGTAGCCAAAATTCCCCAACTCGCCTCACTTCTAAGATTCTCATTTTCCCATCTCAAGGAGGATGCAAAGCTCACAAACACAAACAGTCCAAAAAGAACTGAGGCACAATGAGCTTAACCCTCAGTCCTGCCTCAAGCAGGCAGCGCCATCTCTAGATGGTTGGGTCATTCCCGCCCCCCACAAGAAATCAGTCTTCAAAACACCAACATTCACTTTATAACGTATTGCTTAGTGCCTCCCGTGTCACAAAGGGAGAACACTACAGCTGCTCGGTTTTCTCCCTTTCCAGATCCTGGCAAAGCGAAGTCCAACAGCAGGGTCTGAACTGCACGTACCCGTCGCTTGCAAACAAATGAGACTAATGGTGCAAGAAACTGTCTGGATTCCAACCTCTCTTTCAGGAAAGAAAAAAAAAAAAAAAAAGAAGTTCATTTCTTCAGTTGCTTGTATTCAAGATGCAACTTCCGAGATTACATCACTGTCAGTACATGTATTACCAACACAGGAGCTTCTAAAGAAGAACTGTTATCAGAAACAATGGCCACAACAGGATCAACGCTATTTTTACATCTCAGCTTCTGAGCCACGCAGCTGCTGAAGACAAACTTGGAATCACGTACTTCATGTGTACCTCACTGAAAATCAAGCCTTTATCTCTATTCGAATTCTCTAGTTTCTACCTAGTTGCCTGTTAAGTCAGAAACTTGAGTAAACGTTGGGAAAATTATAAGACCTTAATACTTAACAAGGTAAAAAACAACCCGCAAGCATTTCTAAAAAGACAGTACATTGATTATTAACTTGCACCTTCTCGTGTTTCACAGAATTTCAAGGAAACACACGCTGCTCCCTCCCCGACCTCCCCACCAACACCCAGTTTCGTTTCTTACCAGTTCCCGCACAGCCGGCTTTCCGCCCCGGGCACCGCAGCTATAGCCATTTTGTCGTCCGGGGGCTGAAGGAGAAGCTCCCCCGCTCCCTCAGCCCCTCACGGCGGGGGGAAGGAC